AAATCCCCAAAATAAATAGCTCTGTAAGCTTTCGACATTGGATGCTGAACACATGTTCTAATGGACTCACCTCGCTGAAGGCGCTCGGTCATGCATCCGCACCAGATCACGAGTGAGAACGCCGTGCTCAACAACCCCTGCAATCGTTAGCCAGATCAGACGATCCACGATATATTGATAGCCTATCAAATATGTCTTCGATCCTCCTCGCTTCTGTCTTTTGATTTCACTTGGTTGGTACTATTCATACTAGAAGGTGTTGTCGGTTAAAGCGTTGTCAAACTCCGAATATCTGTGGCATCTTCAGGATCTTTCCTGTTTTAGCGGCAAATAAACCTTTAAAATAAATAGTTTTTCATGTCTCCGATATTGATGCTGGTTTCATTGGTTTTGCTGAACGTACCTTAGCTAAAGGCGCCTCGTCACGCATTCACACCAGACCATGAATGTACACGTCGTCCTATACATCCCTTACAACTGCCAACCAACCAAGACTAAAAGCTTCTCGACATATCGACAGCTTTCCAAAAATATATTCCATCCACTCTATCTCTGGATTCTGATTCAAGTGGGATGGTTTTATTCACTTTTAGTCAAGCGAAATCAAGTCTCAGGTAAGCGAAGCAAAGACTATAAATAGAATTAGATCAAATAATACACAGAAAAGAGAATGATCCATCCAGAAATTTTAGGCGATCAACATTTAAGCTAGGGAGAGATATGTGTGTAGGTTATTATATGTCATCAAGCATACACGTTCATACAGACACAGTGGTGATCATAATAATAACGAGAATCGTTACTGTCTAAATAACATTGTCTGTTAAATAAGTTAATAAAAGGACTTGACAAAGATAATTAATCGAAGTGGTATTGTTATAACTAAACTGACGGAAGATTTAGCAAGGAATGTAACATTTCACTGTCACTAAACATCAGAAAACATAATACCATGACTAATGAGACTAACAAACATAGCGAGTGGTCGTCACGCTTGTAGATCACTAACATAGATGATCTATATCGATTATTTGGGGGCCTACTCGAGTTATACGGGAATGGCGTGCCCGTTGATTTGGCCAAGGCTCAGTGATGTTGCCCTGACCGTACACGCTCAATTATTTCACCCATATAATTAATACAATCTCTGATGCATATTAATCCTTAGGCAACATTTTACATTTATAGGAGAGAATAACTCACATACATGCCTGAAAGTTTAATTAGCGTAGTCATAAGTCTCTAAACGTTGTTGGTTCTTCTTTACTAGACATCACGTTACCGCTCTAAGTTGCTACGTGTTATAGAAAAACTGCATCCAAGATGTGTATTCCACGGTTAGTGCACTTGAGAGACCCATTAAGATAGTTTCAAACGGTTTACCCGTGACACCTTGTTAAAACTGTGCCTTGAAATGCAGCGGTTACCTAATAAGAGAGCGAAAAATGACCAAAAATACTCGATTCCGTATACACACTGTACATTTAAAAACGAGTAAATAACACTTTTGCCTTACAAGCCTCACCAAAAACAAATGAAAGTTAGAATCCGTCTTTTTTTACAAGGAAATTGGCTGCAATTAAACGCAACTCAATTTCGTAAATGTGCTCTTCAGCTTAGCAACCAATCAGAATGTGGCGGGAATTATTATGTCAGCCATCCTTGTACGTAATGGCGGCCGGCTTTCTTCGTTCTGTGCTTCTTTTAGCTATTTCTTTTGTGTAGCTATGTAATTAATGTTTCAATGTGCTAAGATGCCGCAGTTAGTGTAATGTTCCACATGTTGGTGTGAAATTTACTTCGAATCAGCATTGTTTTTTGGGTTTTTACTGCTTCTACTCTAGTCAATGTAATTCTTCAGTCAAGCTGGTTAGTCTTATGTTTTAAAATGGAAATCGGTTTGGTTTTGACTTGTTTTCTAAATATCCAAAGCCGAAGTTCGTTTTTTCTTAGCTGAAATAACTGTTGCTGCCTCCTGTGACTAACTGTCCGCATGTTCATTCCTAACCGTACTTTATGATGTTATCGGCAAAATGAAAGGAACCAATTTACGGTTTTTAATTTTCTTCAGTATTGCGGACAAAAATATCCCACAACAAGTCAAACTAATACTTAGTGCCTAGCAGTATGGGATGTCAGTATTGTTTTCGAAAGTACCCAGGCTTCCGACAACCATAGACGAAGTCACAGATGCTACCAATCTATTGCAGAGGGTTTGTTATGAAAAAATATGCCACATAGCAGTAATGGAGGGGTTATACGCATTACGTAGTGCGTTAAAGCAAGCTTAACATTGAAAAGCCGGAAATCTGCTATCAGTGTGTAGTGTATGTTTGGTGTTTTGGCCACAAAAGGAAGCCGAAGGGTCATGATCAGAAAGTAAAAAGGTAACTAACTGTTATTAAGCTCACCTTTTTATAGACCATAATTCACCACTCGCAGATTTGTGTTTTTTTACGGTGTCATGTCAACCGTTATCGAATATGTTCACCCTTACGATGAAAAGTACCTGCAAATTCTCACCTTCATATTCGAATTATTTTGGGACAACTGTCTTCCAGTTTGAGTGCTTCGTACGCCCTGAGAGACTAGATTCCTACATTATTCACAGTTCCAGTATAACATTCTCACGCAGTAAGTTCAAAGTAAACACTAGTCTTTCTAGATAAGCATGTTAAACTAATATCCGTATTCTCTATTTCAGTTGATCGATGAAGACATGTACCACGTGCATCTGCTGTATATTGCTATTTTACTCCAATTTCTTACTGTTATATACTTAAAAATAAAATTTCTATATGCAGCAAATACAGACTTATTGTTTTGATGGTGGTAGGTGGGTTCATGGGATTTTTAGCAGGACTGTAGTAATATTCTCAATAAAAAGCCGAGTGCGTAGACCAGTCTAAAGTACCATACAGGGTGCCTTTGAATTACTCGTCTTCCATTAGTGTCGGTAGAAGCATTACTTGCTTATCATATGACATTTGAATAAGAAGCTATGAGATTAGACGCAGGGACGGTTAGGATGTGTAACGCGTGTCCATCCATCAGTTTTCGTGGCAACTCATGGTGGCTAGAATAAGTTGTGGGAGGACCCGAGCCTGTAGGTTTCCCAAGAAAATGACGGAAATATGCACCAAATCACCTTATGAAGAGCGCCTTTAATCACTTAATCTCTACTCATTAAAGTATAGACGTCTTAGAGGTGACCTATTTACTTACAGGATCCTTAACACTTCTGGACATTCTCTTAAACACCTACATGAGCTTAATCCCAGATACTAGAGACACGACATAGCAGAATGGACTGTAGACGCAACTTCTACTCCTTAAGAGTTGTCGGATGCTGGAATTCGCTGCCCGCCGAACTAGTCCAAGCGACTTCCCAGGAGTCCTTTGGGAGGCGACTGGGTCTTTTATTGTTAACATACCTAGGTTCCTGCTTGGAGGTTTTGGTGATCCCCTGCTACTAGACACGGAAGCCTGAACACATGAATTAGGTGATGAGAGGCTCGATTATCACAAGTTTCTTGCAACGATTAAGTATGTAAAACAAAGTAGCATTAGGTTCAAAAATTTATTCCAGAACTTTCATTAAGAATCGAATATCAAACAAAGGTTTAAACCAAGTTCCAGTCTACAAGTTGCATTTGTAATGTTAAGCTGCAGTTTTTGTTGTTTTTCCAAACGAAGGGTAAAAGAAGTAACTCAAAAAGTACTGGAAGTGGTTGTGAAACTAAAATGGACGTCCAGCATCCTTTTTATAATCTGCTGTTAGTTGGGTCTCCAGTAAACAGGGCCATAGTTCCAAGTGCGAAATAGTTTTTAGGATTTGTGAAGGCTCAATCCTGTTGCATTCTAAATGAAAAAATAGTGATGAATTTAGTCAGAAATGTGGAATAGATAAATAACCAAATTACATGTTTTTTAGCAAAGAATTTATGCAGTTGTGATTTACCTTTAGTTCATGAATATTAGGTCAGGTCAGCTATTACTTGTGCAAAGTATAACATGGACTTAATACCGTATCTCAATGCTTTTATTATTTTGCTCTCATTTAAGTATTACCATGTATCTGCATCTAGTTTAACAGGGAGACATACAAGCAGAGTTAGTGTTTGATGAACTAAAAGTCCTAGTAGTCAAAAAGATTCTTAACATTTGTCCACAGCCAAATGCATTTAATTGAAATACAGAACACTCATCTTCTAAGACTGAATACTGCTCTTCTGTGGGCAAATAAAAGCTCATACACTTAGCTATCCTGCTACCGATGTTATTGCTGGGGAAATTGTTTAATGACAGTGATCATGAAATATGGTCAGTGATAGATGTACAATCTAGAAATAAACACCAAACATACTTATCGCTATCTTATAATGTATGACAGCAACAGTACCAAAAGCACTTTTTTCCTATTTTTAATCAGACTGATTTGAATTAGTATACTCATCAGAAACAGGCAACTCTACTTACTAGACTGATCTGTTTCGTTACAGACTTCAAGCACTATACTTAAGTATACCATAATTCTTTCAACTAAACTGAATTATACGACAACCAAGAATACTAAACTAAGCAAGTGTCATAGTTATTGTTTAATTTGTACAGGCATATTGCTTAAAGTATTTAAATGGACATAATTAAGACTATAAAACAAAAACACGAAATGAAGGCCAATTGAACTTACCGAACGGAAGACAAAGAATATATATATTGCTTTCCGACTGAAGACAACAGGCATTTGTTCATAAAAACATAGTTTATAGTACAATAAACCTTTCTACAGTAAAATCATGCACTGACGGTCTATCTGGAAACAATCAACTATGTGAATAAACTCACTATAACTTGAGATATCATCCCAGCATGCAATGGACGTGCAGTGTAACGCAGTCGGACGTGGCAAATAAAAATATAAAAAAAAGATCAAAATTAGCTATATAATCTAGTTATTTAATTAAAAATACATTATGAAATGACAAAATCTGTGGTTACTTGAACGCACAGATGACCGATACATTAAGTTTACATGGTTGCGTTGCGGATAAGATCACCCAGGAAATTAGTTATTCTTGTGCATTGCATAAATAATAGTTTGAACAATGGTGCGCAATATACAATTGTAGCGCTATAGTATGCCTCTTAGACCACCAGTTGTATTCCGTAGGAGTTTACTGGCCACCACAGGAAGACGCAATGAATCTGAAAGTCTCGCTTGTCATCAAAAGTTTCTTCCACTGGAAATTCGGGGATTGAACGACCTTAAGCCCAGAGACAACAGACATTTATCTTTCAAAGAAGTTGGTCTATTTTTTACAGTTCAAAATATTAATAATTCAGAAACCAGTCGTTTTGCACGAAAAATTCCGCGATTCCATCGATTGGACAAATATTTGGCCAGCTGCTGCTACATTCCACCACTCTCTCGTTCCCTTTAGAGTTCGTCAAGGATATTGTAAAGTTGGTGTACATAAAATTAAACTTTAAGGCTGACAGAATTTGTCAGAAAACGAAGGGCTTCCCCCTGAAAAGTACGCAAATGCTGAACTAATGAAAATCCCCAACTTTTTACATCTCACTCCCTCACACATTAGAAAGCATTGTGATGCGTTAAAAAGTAAGAGTAAAATTATTCATTTTTGTATAAGAATTTTGCACCTTATGGCCTTCTGGTTTAAATTCGAATGAAACAATTGAAAAACATTACCCTGTTGTAATAATTAACCGCTCGTACGTTTTTGCCTCTTCAAATATACGTGACCCTCGTTCCCGTTTTGTAACTCTTCAGGTAAGCCTGCTAACAGTCTGAATTTAATTCTATACTCGTTGATCTCAACTTATATATAATGTGCCAATAAAATTTTATGTCCAGATATATTGTATTATTCTGGGTTATACAGTGTCGGTGGGACTCGGTTTTTCTTCAACTTGAAAGACCTTGTTCAAATACATGTTTGTGTGCATTGTCCAAACACTAGTAGTATTGCACGACCACTGAAGCCGAAGCAGATGAACTAGGTTTCTATAGGATTTGCTAAATAAATGGCGCTGAAAATCGCGAAAATAAGAGGTTTTTTCTTCCCGAACATTTAAACCTTAATAACTTAATAGGTATGAATGCCAAGGTTGGACTTGATAGTTCCAAATAAATTGAGCATTCGGTAGAAAGTTAATAATAAATGTTTTTTTGTTCTATCTCAATGAGTGGATGACTTTTATTTCCGGTGTTTCGTGGCAATGTAAGCCAATTCTTCAGAGTAAATAAATAGCCAAAGTGCTATTTTAACTTGTGTTAGTTTATTTTGGTTATTTATTCACTCTGAAGAAGTGGCGTAATCACTTAGTTTTATAAGACCTTACTGATTATTTCATTCGAAACTACTGACTATAATTCACTACACGTCCCTTTTTGCCAATCGTTTTGACAAAACTCATCGTAATTGTTTTAGTTTAAGCAGCGGTCCCTAGTTATCATCATAGCTTTTATCTTAGTGGATTTGTTATACAATGTCGCATTATTTGCGTAACTGGTCACAGATATTTTGTTTACTCAAATACTGATGTGATTATTTTGTATGGTCCATGTGTTTCTAGTCGGAGTTGAATTACATGTTCTAAGACAAAAAACATCCAGTCTGAGTTTTCTCCAGAAGCTATCAGTAACATCATGCCTCTATTATCCAGATTCTAAGTTGCTCATGTTATTTTACCTTTTATTTGAACACAAATATTGGCGCAAGAGAGTGAATGACGTAAATGATAATAATAATAATACTAATAGTAATTGTAATAATAATAATGTGAATCGTTTGATTGTTAATCGAAGCAAGACAAGTATTTTCCATAAATATCGACATTTCATCATATTCGTATGTGGGCTATGATACTGCCCGGGTGCCAAGACCGAAGCAGCTGATTTTCTTAGAGGGCCACACCCCGAGCCTTTGACCTAAAAGTCTAACCCACAAGGCAATGGAGCATCGTGAGGAGATGCAGTCTCATGGTAACCGGTCATCAATTGGTTCATACGCCATCTGTTCCCTCAGGATACTGGAGCTCATGTGCACCATTGGTTTGAGATCCGGGTAAAGTGCCGAACATTCGTTTTTCGTCCTCTCATTTTCGTAAACAACACCCTCGCCACGAGAAGGCAGTGAGTAGGACTTCCCTGGCAGAGGCTGTATATGCGTGGCCACGTGAGAGTCAGTCAGCTACAACGTAGGACCAGGCACATATATGCATCGGTCCAGGTTGCCATTACCTCATTAGCACAGTACCGGAATATAGAATTAGTTCGTAGAAAGAAAGATATGAAGCGATTTTAATCTCTTAGTTTCAGGAAAAACAGGGAGTGTATACACCGACGCCATTGTGACCGATTCTGAGCCATGTCACCAAAAGTCTCCAACCATTGGTTACGAAAGTCACGCGGATCCCAACCAAGTAGTCTGTATCTACCAACATGGCTCAGACTAGAGGTTAGTGTCTTCAAGCACTGATGCCACGTTTTGGTTTGACCGCCCCTAATTCTCTTCCAACCATCTCTAACACCCGTTAGCATTGCACGACGTGGTAATCGGTGTTCAGGCATACGTAACACGTGGCCCAACCATCTCAGTCGATGAAGATTAACAACCTCATCAACTGATTTACCATCATTACCTATTACCCTGAGTCTAACCTCACTATTACTATTACCCAGTGATCCCAGCAGATGCGAGCAATATTTCTAAGGCATCTGTGGTCAAATACTAGTAGCTTACGAGTGTCTTCTACTCTTATAGACCATGTTTCGCTGCCGTAAAGTAAGACAGAACGGACTGCCGCGCAGTATACTCGTCCTTTTATTGATAGACGGATATCTCGCCTTCGCCAAAGGTGATGTAAGTTGGCAAAAGCCAAACGAGCTTTTGGAATCCGTGCTGAGATTTCGTCAGATACCAACCCATTAGGGCTGATCAGACTCCCAAGATAAGTGAAGTTGTCAACGCGTTCGACTACTTCACTCCCTATCGTTAGTTCAGGTGTTGACGCAGGCCAGTCCTGAAGCAACAACTTGCATTTAGAGGCAGAGAAGCGCATTCCAAACATTCAGGCTTTGTTGCTTAGTGCTACCAGAAGACTGCATTTTGTCAGCGTCTTCACCAAACAGGACTATTTCATCTGCGTATTCTAAGTCGATAAGTGGACCTCCTGGAAGGAGATCAATACCCAAGAATTCAGTCGACGAGAATGTTATTTCCATCAGTAGGTCTATTATAAAGTTAAACAGAAATGGAGAAAGTGGACAGCCTTGACGGACACCACTTGAGGTTGCAAAACTAGATGACAGTTCGCCATAAGCTCTGACTCGACTAGTAGTGTTCGAGTAAAGAGCCTTTACAAGGTTTATGTACTTCTGGGGTACGCCTTTCAATGTCATTGTTGGGAAACTGTAATTAACAAACCGAATGAACTTGTACATAAATCATTAATACATATATAGTGCTCCTTCTGATCCATCCATACGTGGATCTATACGTTAAGATCTTGACTGGGTGCATAATCGAGTTTCTTCAACATCATGTCTTGATTACAATTTCTCACTTATTGTTTGGCATTAAGGCAACAGCGGCTTAGTACAGGCGACTAATAGGCCGGCAGTCAGTCAGTGGTCTTGAGTGCTGTTAGAGGTATGAGGGCGGTTATCACTTCCCGGTTGCCCACACCGTGGAAGGATTCTTCTGGAGGTGCCTGAAAAGGAAATCGAATTAGAAGTGGTCTTAGTGACCAGGGAGCGTGACCGCAGTGCCCAAGGGACAACTGCTTGAGGTCGGTCACACACGACCTTTTCACGGGCAATTTTTGTGTTAGCTCCGTACTTGTTGAGACCTTACCGCCGGAGACGGATATCCGTGGGATAAGGCGAGGTGTGCATTTTTAGGGTCGACCTTTTCTAACCCCACCCCTCCTTGTGGGAAGGCAGCATCGCTGTCATGCTGGTTGTCTGAAGGAAACACCTTACTGCTGTCACACCTCTGTACAGTCAGCAGTAGGACTTCGCCTTCGGACCTTGGGTTTGTTGCTTTTAGTCTTACCGCTCTTCAACCGACCTTTCTGACGTGGTAGAACCTTGAGGAACATTTGTTCCAGTCAGTATAGCTCGGTTGCTTCATCACGATAGGCAAGCCCGACCACCAAGTCAAGGTAGCAACAACGGTCGGGATTTCGAGAAGGAAGGGCGGGTCCGCCCTACTCTCGGCCATACCAGGGCATTTGGGGCAGTTGCTTATGAGTGAAGTTTTTTATGCTAACATACTTTTTCGAGTCAAATAGTAGTCCCTTTTAGTTTACGTTGGTGTTTATATTATCCAGGTAGTGTTTACACAAATCCTGAATCAGCACCCAATACTGATGTTTACGAACATCATTTTTTTTAGAAACTCGCTTATTTTTACTTATTGATATTCTCACTACGTTCAATGTAGTAGTTGCTTAGAAAGTGAAAGTTCCTAGTAAAAAGCATGCTTGGCAAACTTATAGTTAAGGATAATGAATGCACAAAAATAGATTGCATGTGAATATTGGTGTCTGTACAGTTATCGACTCTATTCCTTTGGTAGTTACTCATGAAACTTTCATTTTAGTACTGTGGGAGGTACACAACTCAAACACCTTAGGTGAATTATTTAATTCTCAACACTCATCCTAACAATCAAATTCACTTAATTTCATAATTGATTGGTCGCTGAATAGTGACTAGTATCGTGTATGTCAAGTACTTCTTAGTACTTGTCGAACTCTGTTGATCAAGTTTATATTTAGCCACCAGTGTAGATCATTTAATATCGTGTAAACTATGTTAAGATGTAAGATGATGGTTTGAAGTATTCGATTCCAGAACATTCGCGGTTTAAATAGTTCAGTGGCAACGTCTTCCACTGTAGAGCTAGGTGACAGGATCATATCCTCTTTGGAGCACCAGTTCCTTCGAAATTGCGTGTAAGCCTCGCTGACGAGCGCCAAATCTAACGAAGCCTAGGTCCAGAGCTTTTTGTCAATAGATACAACCACCAATAAATCATTTAGCTTTAATTTTCTATAGATCTTGTTGCAATGAGTATACCACAAGGATGAATCAAATACCAACTATTAATATTCTAGTTTACGCGACATACTATGTTTGATTTGACTTGGGAAACTATCAAGTCAGAATACTTAACTTATACAGTCTGGATTTTTCTTTAAAATAACTGTCGGTTTACGTTCTAGATACGCCTTTCTAACCTTTCGTTGGACGAACATGCTAGAAGAAAGCTTTTACGGCTTGCGATAGGTCCTGGTCCAGGTCGCAATATTGCAACATATGACTGGAATACAGATATCTTAGAGTTAACCTCAGCGAGGTGTCCAACATCAAAGCAGAACTTTGACTTTTTAATATACTTATTGACAGTTCTTACTATGGAATCAAAAGTAAGCTTGCTTTGGTTTTATATTAAACTTCTGGCTTGTTTAGTGTAATATTTCTATCACTGAAACTACATACTTTTAGGAATTTTGTTTAAGAAGAGACAATAATTTGCTTAATGAGTAGTATTTTAGCTGTAATGAATTGCAATTAAAAAAGCCTATAAATGAATAAAAAGGTTTACATTAGTACATACTCTTGCTATCTATCATATTTTTTATTTGTGATACTAGATTTGATTAGTTTCCAAAGGTTACTTTCAACATAAACCAAAATAGTTGTGAGAAACTATGGTTGTTCAAGATTGCTGTGAATCAATTTTGCTTCGATTTTATGTGCTGGAGATGGTAAGTAACTGCATTTGATCATCGTTGTCTCCAAAGGATTATTGATATTCAGTGGCAACACCATTCTGGTAATACAGAAATTTGACGTGTGTTCGGACATAGTCAATCATCTACAACATAAGACCACATATATGCATCGGTCCAAGTTGCCATGCCTCATTAGCACAACAAGATGAACGTCGAATTCCTAGAAGCAGTTACTTCATTGGTAGTAATATGTAAAAAAAGATTGCATATAAGGACATATTACAGGGAGAAACAATTATTCGGGCACATTGACAATAATCTAATTGTTGTCACGATCCTGAAGCACAGAATTCGGTGGCTTGGATATATAATATGAATGTCGTCCCAATGAACTCAACATTTTATATTATTTTTTCTACTCAGTTTGGTTGTTAAGAGCGGGGAAATGATGAGTCGGCGCTATGGGACAGGACTGTCATTCATGACTCCCTAGTTAAGGTCTTAGCGACGGTGCAACAGAGTGGCTTGAAACGTTATTAAACTTTTTCCAACCAGCCCCAGAGTCGGAAAATAATGCAAGATGTTGAATTTGTTAATAGGATATTCACAGTACAGATCCAAACCACTGAATTCAGTGTTTCAGGATGGTGACAACAATTGGATTGTCATCACTGTGCCCGAACAAACGTTGTTGAACTTCTGTATTACTAACATGATGTTGCCACTGAACATCAGTCATCCTTCAGAGACAACGATAGTCAAATACAGATTCGCTTAACATCCTCAACTTGGAGAGGCCAAGTTTCACAGGCGTAGAGAAAAACTGTTGTCATCGATACGTTGTAGATTCGAGTTTTTACAGCCGGTTTAGCACCACGGAAGCTCTAAAGACTCATCATATTGGCACAAGCCGATCTAGCTTTCATTATACGTGAATTGATCTCATCATTCACCCCATCACTAGCTCTAACTCAGGAACCCAGATACTCCACCATTATCTTCATCTATCAGCTGTTTCCAGGACACCATTGATGGAAAAGTTGAGGAGTGATGAGGTTAGACAACCTTCCTTAATCTCACTGTCTGAATGAAATAATAGAGAGAGGTGGTTGTATACTCTCACTTTGCTTGAGGTGTTTGTATATAAGGCTTTCAATATGTTAATAAATTTCCCAGGCACACTCTTCAATAAAGAATTCCAGAGAATAGTCATATTCAAGAAATCGATGGTAATCCCGAGGTCACCACCATCTTCAAAAAGGGCTAGAGGTGGTTCACCTGGGCCTAGTGATTTGTGGCACTTCAAGAGTTGGAGTTTTTTGCGGACTTCCGCCTCATTAGGTAAGTCAGTACTCATCGGCCATGGAGGACGGGACAGTCTGGTCGATGTTGCCGAGACAGCAGACCAGGTGAACTGTTCCTCAAAAAACTGTCGATTGTTCAAGACGTCGGTAAATGTTATTGGTCAGCATCCCACCAGCTTGATAGATTGTTTCACTCACAGCAGACGTTCTGCTGCCAACGGCTTGGTCCAGTTTCCTGCACTTACCAGATGCAGCTCTTGCTTCCAACTCGTTAGCAAGCTCCAACCACCATGCTTCTCAGTCCTTACACAAACCCCAGTTTTAACAAAGTACAATAGGTGAAAAAATATTTCTCCACAATTACTTCTCAATAAATTGGAGACTTTTTGTAGAAAATAGTAAGAATTAAAATGTACCAAGTAGTTACTCGTTAACTTTATTTATCTGAGCAATAAGGTAAGAAATAATAGTTTAAAATGAAAAGATGGTTCATCTGTGAATCATTTCATTGTCAACCTGGTGCACTAGAGTGGGATTGTTTATCGTTCTACATTTTCTATTTTTTCAACCATAATGGACGATGCTCGGAAATTAGATGATGAATTTGTCTTGTACACGAAATGTAATATTCTCCGCAATAGGAGGCGAAGTCAGTTATCCTTTGTTAGGTACAGCGTATAGTTGGAGAAGTCTGTCGTCAAAGTTCATAGCGAACTCCTTCAAGGTTTACTCAATGGCGTATTTAAAGATGGATTTTTCACAGTTTTGGTTAGTAACTGTGAATTTTGTAATTAGCTGTGTTAAGAGTTAGAGTAGATGTCTACTAATGATAGTAGATCACTCCAAACATGAAATGTCTGGAATCACAGTCACTATTAATGATACAGAGATAATGAAAGAACCTGGTCAGTGGGACTAATTCTGAATTAAGCCACTTAATATCTCTAGTCGTCCAAGAATCTACACCCTACAATACAACTCAAAATAACAATTAGTGATTTCGTGAACTCATCCCATTTCTATTAACGACTTCCGTTAAACTTTTTATTACCTGCTCTTATGTTAGAAAGTACTTCACTTCTGATTAGGTTCTGCCTACGGATGAGTAAAACAAGCCGGTTCTGATCAATAAAGAACCACAGCCACATCAAAGGGATCTACCATTTATATTTAGTATCGTACACCTAACGTCTTCGGGATTACTATGTAGTCTCATAATGTGCGAGAAATGTTTCAAAGCTAAACTTAAATACTAGCAACCACCTATGTCTCTTTTAAAGGCTGTAACTCAGACAGAACTATCACTGACTACTACTATTACCATTATATGCTAGGGGAGAACATACTTCATAATCTTTTTATTGTTTACGCCCAAAAACCTGCTACTCCTCGTTCGTTTGTATTTCAGAAAACTGAAAAATGGGAAATAGATAATCCGGAATATGATTGGGTACAATTTGATTGGGATAAAAGTGAAACACGCCGTCGTCTTTTCAACTTGCTTTCATTGTGCGATAGTGAACAAGTTATCAGAAATAATCAAATAAAAGAAAAGGAATTCACAACCGAAGTATGTGAAAATGTTTCTGTGAACAATTTTTTTTCCGTTAAATTACCTAAAATAATTTTTTTCTCAAGTAAGAATGGTTTGTTTATTCTGTGAACCGAATGACTCAACAAACATCCAAGTTGTAATGTAGAAGTAATCAGACTCATATAGCCGAATAAACAAAACATTATGCGAATAACAGTTGACCACTAGAGTAAATCTTACAGAAAACGAATTAAGACAAACAGTCACACACTTCATTGGTTCTGTCTGCGAATTCTGAGGATCATTCTATTTCTCGTCCCTTGATCTTGCTACTACAATATGTTCGCTTTCAGCTTATGTATCTCATGTTTTTCAATCACCTCAACCATTTTATAAACTGAATATCGTCTACTGAATATGTATCCAGATATCATTTGGAGAGTCAAGTGAAATGATCGAAATCTGATCAAGTGACCCAGTAAGAGCAGAAGATAAACATCATCATCCTCTATCGCTAAACATATAATTGAAACAGGCCATAAGGTTGATATTAACTCTGCTTTCGTGGTGTTGTATGAAAGTGTAAAAGGGCGTGTACTAAGATTTATTGAAGCCTTAGCCATACGAAAATTCAAACCCCGTTTGTGTATTCAGAAACAGTTTGTTCTCAGCTTAATCATTTATTATTTCTTTGAACAAATAAATATTGGTACACGAGGGCACCAAATATATATGCGTCACACAAAACAATGAGAATTCGAAGAGAGAGAAAAGAAAGTAAGGGGCGTTAAGAAAAGAACAATAACCAACAGATTAGTGTAAGATAGTGTAATAGTAATAAAAACAATAATAATAGTAATAATGGGGGAAATGGAAAGGTACAATCAGAATAAATCTTTCAGTTAAGGAAGAAACATCCATATTTTATGAAGAAAGTAAAAAAAAGTTACAGCTGAATCGCCACTGGCTTCTATTCTGAGCCATATCTGATAACGTCTCTAGCCACTGTTGCACCATCTCTCGAAATCCAGCCAGGTAGTCGTGAAGGACCAACAGAACCCAGCCCCTTGCAGGCCCCCAAATGGTACGGCCGAGAGTGGGGAGAGTCCGCTCTCCCTCTCGAAATGCTCTCACAAGGCCACGCGTATATAGCCTCTGCCAGGGAAGTCCTACTCACTGCCTTCTCGTGGCGGGGGTGTTGTTTACGAAAATGAGAGGACGAAAAACGAATGTCCGGCGCTTTAAACGGATTCCAAACCAATGGTGCACATGGGCTCCAGTATCCTGCGTTAACAAATGGCGTATGAACCAATTGTCGGTCACCGGCTTCCATGGGACTGCATCTCCTGACGATGCTCCACTGCCTTGTGGATCAGACCCTCAGGTCAAAGGCTCGGGGTGTGGCCCCCTAAGAAAACCACCTGCTTCGGTTTGGGCACTCGGGAAGTATCACAGCCCTCACACATATCGAATGAGATTTGTGTGGCGCATATGTATTTGGTGCCTCTTTGTACCAATATCTATGTGTTGAAATAAATAAATAAATAAAAGCCCTTTGCAGCGTTCTTTCATACCACGACACCGTGTCATGCACTGACCACCTCTCTGCTTTTTTCAACCAGTCCCAGAGTCGGCAAATAATACACGACGTGGAATTCTCTAGGACGACATTCGAAGAACATGTCCCCAAGCCACGGAAGTTGGTGTTTCAAGGTGGTGACACCAATTGCATTATCATCTCTGTGCCCGAACACACGATGCCGAACCTCTGCATTACTAACATGGTGTTGCCACCGGATGTCAGCAATCCTTCGGAGACAACGATGATCAAACACAGTCGTCTAACATCCTCAACTCGGAGAGGCCATGTTTCACAAGCATAGAGCAAAACTACTCTCACCGATGCGTTGTAGATCCGACGTTTTACAGCCAGACTGACATCACGAATGCGCCAAAGGTGGCCCAGATTAGCATAAGCCGCTCTGGCTTTCACTATACGTGCATTGATCTCATCACTCACACCCCCAGATACACGAACTTCTCGATTATTTCTATTTGCTCACCATCCAGGGTGAGTACAGGATTAGAATCCTGCCATTCTTGTAGAAGTACTTCGCTTTTCGAAGGTGCAAAGCACATAGCATACCTACGGACATTGATTGCCAACTGATTAAGTGCGGATTGCATGGCTTGGGCATTATCGCACAGTAAGACAATATCATCCGTATACTCAAGGTCGAGAAGTCTTTCTCCAGGCAACAGATCCACACCGCCATTACTTACATCCACCAGAGCTGTTTCCGGAATGTCATCGATGGCAAAGTTGAAGAAGAATGGTGAGATTGGGCAACCGTGCCTAATCCCACTGCTCGAATGGAACAATGGAGAGAAGTGTTTGTATGCCCTCACTCTGCCTGAGGTGTTTGTATATAGGGCTTTTAGGATGTTAATAAACTTCTCAAGCACACCCTTCTTCAATAGACAATCCCACAGAACAGTCCTGTCCAACGAATTGAAGGCAGACCTGATGTCAAGAAACACTGCGATTGTTGGCCTTTGATAAGTATGACGGTTTTCTAACATTTGGCGGAGGATGAAGATATGATCAGTACATCCTCAACCAGAACCAAAACCAGCCTGCTCCTCGCGCGTCAATCCTTCTCGGGTTTTGAACAACCTACGAGGTATGACGGAAGCCAATAACTTGGACGCAATCGGAAGTAGACTTATCCATCGATAGTTGTTACAGGAACGACGTGAACCCTTTTTAAAGATAGGGACAACTGTCAACTCATTCCATGACGTTGGTACACTCTCTAGCTCTCAAACCTTTGTAAACAACGTCGTCAATTCCTTAGTCAGAAAGTCACCACCACCTTTGAAAAGAACCTGAGGTAAGTCATCTGGGCCCGGTGATTTGTAGCGCTTCAAGAGTTGGAGTTCCTTGCGGACTTTCGCCTCATTTGGTGGGTCAGTCGTCACCGGCCATAGAGGGCAGGACAGTCTGACCGATGTTACCGGAGCAGCAGGCCAGTTGAACTGCCCTTTGAAAAATTCTGCTCATCGTCCAAGACGTCGATGGATGTTAGTGATTGATATCTCGTCATCCCCACAAATTTTTTTGCTCACACCAGACTTCTTGCTGCCAGTGGCTCGGATGAGTTGTAAGAACTTCCGGTAGTTACCAAATGTAGCTGCTGCTTCCAGCCCATTAGAACGCTTCGAACTCCTGGCTTCTAGGTCCTTACGCAAGCTTTGCCCGATTTTATTATGTAACATCCTTCGTTTGTGGTCAAACTCACGGTCACCCGGAGTAGACCGACGGTCTTCGATGAGCTGTAAGGATCCAGAAGAAGCCCAATGCTTATAAGCAGAACGTTTTGCGAAGCCATAAGCGGCTTCACTCCATTTTTATGGCATCATGAAGTTTCAACCAATGCTCATCTATACTTTTCGGTGGAATGTTAGCTAGCCTTGAACCCAGCTCGGTTTGATATTTAGTTGCAACCGAAGCTGCAACCAATTTACCGATAACGATTCGTTCAGGATGATGGATTTGTTGTTCACTGAAAAGTAAGGTAAGATTAGCGCAAACAAGAGTATGATAAGAGCCCAGATAAGTACTCTAAAAAGAGCAGCAGTTTTGTACACAACCACGCCAGCGGTAGCTGATCGCGATGTGCTCAATCTGAGTCCAGGTTTGAGATGCAGAGGAAGGGCGCATTGGCGATGACTGTGCCGGTAGTTAGTGCTAGCCAGAAACAGGTTGTGGTCTGTGCACAGTTGCAGTAGACGGTCTCTGTTATCCGTCCTGCGACCATCAAGTCCCTCTCGGCCACCTAAATGATTCTCTTCAATGCCTAGACGCCCGACCTGAGCATTCAAATCTCCGGCTAGTACTACAATATCTATCGAACGCACTTTGTGGAGAAGAACAGTTAACTGGTGGTAGAATTAATCCTTGATTGCATCTGGGCTGCAATCTGTCGGGGCATAGGCAGAGATGACGAAAAAACATAGTTTCTCACGCCGATTTCTTCTCACTTTGATGAGACTTTCTAATCTAACAGCACATAACCGACTGTTAATGGGGATCCAATCGATTAGTGCCTCCTCGGCTTTAGCGCTTAGTGCGACACCAACGCCAGCAAAACCAGGCGAAGATGCCACAGGGTCCCCGGATAAACGCACGTAGAACAAGCTTTTTGAAGCAACAGAAGGAGAGTGAATTTGTAGTACTTCAGCAGAGTCTTGAATACGGGTTTCGGATAGACCACAGAAGTCGATATTAAGACTTTCTAAAGACATAGCCAGCCCTATTTGTTGTCCGACCTGTATAAATGTGCGAACGTTGAAGGCAGCCAGTTTGAATGGTGCACGTGGTTTCAGGAAAACTGCTTCAGTATTCGTATTCGGTGGTAGCACACAATTTTCAACCAGGCAGTAACTCGATAACGTTTAGATAGAACCGATTTTCCACCATAGATGAGTTGCTGTATAAGTCGAAAAATAAGGATACACAGAGTGGGAATAAAAGAGTGAATAAATGACGTAAATAATAATAATAATAATAATAATAATAATAATAATAATAATAATAATAATAATAATGGCAATAATAATAGTAATGTGAATCGTTTGATTGTTAATCGAAGCAAGACAAGAATTTTCCATAAATATCGACATGTCATCATATTTGTGTGTGGGCTGCGATTAGGTCTCAAATTATGTTCACTTTTATTATTATTATTATTGCTATTATTATTATTATTATTATTATTATTATTATTATTATTATTATTATTATTATTATTATCTTTGTTTCCTCTTACCCCATTTCCAGTCTAGTTGATCTTTTATTTTTATATATAAATGTTCCTAACAAGTATATGTGTGATCAGATTGTTCGGAATGTATTGCGCTAATATATCACTTAGTTCAGTTGAGCGAACTGATAAATACATTCAGTTATAATTATTTTCCTCATAGTCAAGTTTATGGGTAAATTTTCTCCAGTCCTGCAACACTGTTTTACAATATGAATGTAAGACACTAACACTATTGGATGTGCCGGCTCAGTGGTCCAGTAGGTTAAGCGTTCGCGCACGAGACTGAAGGCCCTTGGTTCGAATTCTGCGAGCGGGATCGTGGATGCACACTGCTGAGGAGTCCCACAATAGGACGAAGCGGCCGTTTAATGCTTCCAGGTTTCCAACGGTGGTCTAACATCATTCGGTTCATGATCTCAATTAAAAAACTAATCTCCATAACCACTATACTGGTAATATAGATGTAGGTAAATCGATAGTCATTCATGAGGGCATTTATAACATCATTTAGTTGGAGTTATCCTGCATAAAAGTATTAAAACTTATTATAACAGGTTGTAGATTTCGATAGGTGTTTTTCTTTCGAAAGATACACTAATGAATGAAATTGCTATTAGTAATTTAGGCATTAACTATACGTTAATTAATTGGATTTCCGTCTCCGGCGGTAGGGTCTCAACAAGTACGGAGCTAACATGAAAATTACTCACAAAAACTTTCTGTGTGACCAGCCTCAATCAGTTATCCCTTGGGCACTGTGGTCACGCTCTCAGGTCACTAAGAGTACCTCTAACCCAATTTCCTTTTCAGGTACCTCCAGAAGAACTCTTCCATGGTGTGAACAACCGGGAAGTAAAAACTGCCGTCATACCTCTAACAACACTCAAGATCACTGTATTCATAATCAGTGTTCCTCTTCAATTCCTATTATTACTCTTACCTTGACTTTCAGCTATAAACTCCCTCTTTTGACTTCCTCCTCAAATGAAATCATGGACAACGATTCTGTTGCGCGAAATACTCTCCCAAGTTTACTGAAACCTCCATCCAAACTACAAATTGGAGCCTTCAACGTACTCACCCTATGTCAAATCGACTAGCAGGACCCTCGGCGAAAGTCCTAGAATCTGGTACCATCGATGTATGCTGTGTCTCCGAAACACACATGCAGGATCCTAGTGTGACTATTCACTTGACCTCACCTCTCCAAAACGGAGAACCAACGAGATACACCCTTCGTGTTTTTGGCGACTCGATGGCTAGTTCTGGCAGGTGTATGCATGGCACTAATTACAAGGGCAGAACAAGCAGTATTAGAGTGGATCCCAGTTAACGGTCGCCTATGTGCTGTTCGGCTAAACGGCTCCGTAAGAACTCGGAAGGATAGGGGCACACGTCGTTGCCTTCTCGTCGTTTCTGCCTACGCTCCCTCTGACTGCAGCCCAGATGAAGTGAAAGATGACTTTTACAGAAAGCTGAACGCCTAGACATAGTACTCGTAGCAGGTGACTTTAACTCTCAAGTGGGTAGCTTAGACGAAGCAGGAAGACATTTAGATGGATATTTTAATATCCTAGCTCAGCGAACAGTTAATGGTGATCGTCTTCTGAAACCATGCCCAGACGATCGTTTATTTTTAGCAAACACTATTTTTAAGCATAAGGAGAGACATCGTCTAACATGATGATCCCATACACCAAACCAACGATAAACTCAAATAGACCATATGCCATCAGTCATCGTTGAAGAGAGTCTATAGAAGATTTTCGCTCGCTCTGAAATACCTGCTTGGACTCCGACCATGCTCTAACACGAGTATGCATTTGCTTGTGCCTCACTGGACGCAGAAAAACCACATTAAAAAGACCCATTAGAGTTGAACTCAGTGACGAGAAAGCCAAAAGTAAATTCCAGGAAAAACTGAGGTCATACTTAGTTCAGAAAACGAGGCTGATCCAGATGTTACTTGGAATGATATACGAACAGCTATGGAAAAGGCAGTGACATCTATTTGTTATTTAAACCAAAGGGTTACAAAAAGCCAGTGGATTTCTGCTAAGTTTATTGCACTAATAGATTTTATTAAACTCATTCCGTCGGGCTCAGAACACGATGAAGATCCAGAACAAATCATATCTATGGTAACCAAAAGTCTAAGAAACAACAGTGATCAATGCTGGGTAACAAAAGCAAATGAGATGGAAAAGGCCGTGGCTGCAGGTAACACCAAATAGCTTTTCGGACTAATAAGAAACTTGAATTAAGAAGTCAAGGGTAAGTGATACGACCTCGGGAACAGACGACACTTATTTGCTCTCACCCCAAACGTTTAGAACGATTGACTAAAGACTTTAAGGAGCAGTTCGGCTGTCCCTCAGCTACTCTACAACTACCCACCATTCCTAAACAACCTAAATGGAACATTGAAAAAGGTTCCCGGACTGTAGGTGAAATTCAAAAGGCTATTCCGAAACGATGAAGAGCAGCTGGTCCAGATGGATGGCTTGAGTTAACACCTGGACTAAGGATAGCAAGTGAAGTAGTCGAACGTGTTGACAACTTCACTTACCTTGTAAATCTGATCAGCCCTAATGGGTTGGTGTCTGACGAAATCACTGTACGGATTCGAAAAGCTCGTTTGGATTTTGCCAACTTATATCACCTACGGCAAAGGCCAGATATCCGTCCATCGATTAAGGGACGAGTATATTGCACAGCAGTTCGTTCTGTTCTACTTTATGGCTGCGAAACGTGGCCATTAAGAGTAGAAGATACTCGTAAGCTACTAGTATTTAATCACAGATGCCTTAAAAATATTGCTCGCATCTGCTGGGATCACTGGGTAATAGTAATAGTGAGGTTAGATGCAGGGTATTAAGGAATGATGGTAAATCATTTGATGAGGTTGTAAATCTTCATCGGCTAAGATGGTGGTTGGGTCACGTGTTACGTATGCCTGAACACCGATTACCACGACGCGTAATGCTGACTAGTGTTGGGGGTGGTTAGAAGAAAATTAGAGGCGGCCAAACCGAGATTGGCATCAGTCCTTGAAGTCACTAACTTCTAGTCTTAGCCATGTTGGTAGATGCAGTCTACTTGGTTGGGGTCATCATGACTATCGTAACCAGTGGTTGGAGACAGTTGGTGACATGACTCAGAATCGACCACGATGGCGTCGGTGTATATACTCTCTGTCTTCCCTTAAACTATGAGACTAAGATTAGTTTTTATCTTTTTCTACGAATTTATTCTTTCTTTCTTATACAAAATCTTTCTTTTATATATCACTACCATTGAAGTGACTACTCTTATGAATTCGGTGTTCATCTTGTTGCGATATTGAGGTGTGGCAACTTAGACCAATGCATATATGTACCTGGTCCTACGTTGTAACTTACTGGTTTTACTTACTAGACCATAATAATTGAAGTAAGAAGATTTCGTTACGTTCGTTTAAGATTGTTGGAAATTAGTTTTTCATCGAGAACTCAATTTGTATGACACTTGAATGAAAAAAATCTATTCACATTTAAGAAATAAATGAATGAATTATGGAATTAGGATGTAATTTGTTAATTTCTTCATCTACTCTGTGGTTGTTGTTGTTGATTAATTTCATGTCAGTGAATTGATGTCAAAGAAATTTCGGTCAACTAGATTTTATTTTCATCGTAAGAGAATATATTGCAAGACATTTTCTAAGTTTGATTCTGCACACTTGGTGTAGTATATAATTTTTACCGTTAACTTCAATTTCTACTCATTTTTTTTCTACATTCAGTGTACATAACAAAATTCACAACAGATTAGAATATATATTAACTTTAAATATTATTATAAAAATCAATCTTCAATTTACTTTCATTTCATATCTTTACATATGATTACGTTTAGCTTGAATCTAATCCTGCAATTGTACAGTATCGAAAAGCATTAAAATCTATATGGTCTAAAAACGATATACTCAATGGTGACCAATGGATTAAACGACCTGATCCACCTAAATATCGACATGGTCGTCTTCGACCTATTCGAAATATACCATTCGTTACGGTACCGGGTGCAGATGAAAAAAATAATTTGGAAGAATACGCTTCAGCAACACGAAATCTATTTGGATTAGATACTGAAATACAACAGTCAAATTTGTAGATAGATAATTTAAAAATCATTCATCTTTGATCAACTTATTTGTACATTTATGTGTTTGGACATTTACTCATTCTTTTCCTGAACACTTTAAAATCGATGTGTACAATGCTTTATTCGCGTGCTATTAGAATTATGGAAGCGGTTGTCCCTTTTCGGTCGCTCATATTGTGGAAAGATGTTTCTTGAGGTTACTACGAAGCCCAAAGAACAAACACTTTAGGTCGGTCATAGAAGACCCTTTTATGAGTAGTTTTGAATGTGTTAACTCCATATTTTTTAATATGTCGTATGGCTTGACAAATATCATGTGACAAAATCGCTATTCAAAACACTTGCTTCTATGACCCTGTTCCTGTGCTTAACTAATGACACATCAAAAAGCATTAGCAGCCTTGCGTCAACTCTGGATCTTTGTTTATCAAGAGGAGGTTGACAATCTATGACTAATCTAAATCAAAATCACGTTGTGTATATGGATGGATTGCATTGGAGTAACACTTTCAAATCCATATTAATTAATTTCATTACTTCCATCACACTCGTATGAAGAGGTATTTAGAGTATATTATGCGATTTAAGACTAAATTAACTACAGTATCTTTTGCCATAAACTCCGAAAGATCTATTGATCTGCTGAGCTCAGGTAGCCACTTACTTGTGCAACAGATGTTGGTTTTATTTGTAAGGGTTCGTGTTTTTCGCATTGCTTGTGCTACCATACGAATAAAATTCATATCCATTAACCAAACCAGTGGCTATCTGTACGCAATGGATTAGTATTTGAAGCGAAAGATACGGTGTTCTAGTTTCCGTTCAAACATTAAAGTAGTTGCGCACATATTCGATTGATAAGTGTCAAGCATGACGAAACGCGTATCACTATTTAACTTCAACAAAAAATCTTTCAGATTATTATCTTTACACCATTAACCTATGTATATTGTATGATAACTTCTTATGAAGGATTTTTAACAAAATGGATAGTTGCTTATAAATCCCTATCGTATGTTGATGTTTTAAGATGAGTAGCCCTGAAGACGCTTGTCACAAAGCATAAATACCTTTCGGTCTGTAGAATATCTGTATTTTTGATATGATGGGGGAAGAAATTAAACCTGATCGTTAGGCGTTAATACCATTGAAAAGAGATGATGATCTTTAGTTATCATGTTTTTCAATCATCTATTTGTTAAATTGTGTCTGATGCTTCCCACATAAACGTGCTATTTTGTTGAAAAACAACTGGACCTTCTCGCCATCGGTATTGTCTTTGGTGTCAGTTCACTTAAGGGCTTGAATGAATTGAGTAGCCATCACTCAGTCAACGTATCACTCCATTTCACCTATAGATCAAAATTGGGTTTTATTCGTTCTAATAACCTCAATCCCGTTTATCAAATTATACAGTAAACAGGTAAATTATGGGACACCTAATATAGTGTTCATTTCGACTGCTGTTGGCTAATTAATGTTGTACTATATGTCTTTGCGTGTTTCACTTCATACAACATAAACAATATTCAATGCGATCATAGAAAAAGATTGAATTGTCATCATTTAAGATTGATACTTCGTCCTAATTGAAATTAAAACTGCTTATTAAGGTTCCAACAAGACCACAAGTTACCGGATTCTTGTTACTAGATGTAAATTCCTTCCTTATAATGATAACCGAGAGTACATTTTTCTAACTTATACTTCTTGCTTGACTTGGCCTGTTCTTGATATGGTGAGTCAATCAGAAGGTCAGTCCGTGGCCATCGAAAGTGACCTAAAGGTAAAGTGCATTTCGTTGGCAAAGAAATGGATTGATTTTTTAAGAGGTAAAGCCGTATATATATGTATATATAAATGAGTATTTATACAATTTATCAGGTGGCACTATTTACTTTCTTGTCCACTCTTGTGTTCTCCCCCAAGTAATCAGGTTGGGGGTTAGAGTATAGCACGTCCTTGAACGCTGATTAGTTTTCACCATTTCTGGTTTTGTTGATTTCACTGTGTTCCAAGAGTATGTTTTGTTGCTATATATGCACCGAGTTGTTCTACTTCAGTTTTGTCGTACTTGAATATTAAACTTTACTCTTTACACTTCTGCTTTCTTGGATTCTCTTATCTGAGAGTTGACGTTAAAGGATTTTGTGCATCAGTTCCCGCGTATCATCGCGTTCGTATTAAGAGAATCTCGATCGTTCTTATTTAGAATTTACCGTAGCTTCAACCAACATAATCTTAGAGCACAGTAGGCTGACGTTAAATTGGCTTTCGATACCTTTTTTCATACAACTGAAATATTTGATTCTACAGTGACAAAAAATAGACTCATTTATTTAGTTAAGATGTAGTAGCGCATTCTCGACGCATTCAAATTGTCAAACAACTCAAGGACGAAAAGTAGGTAGTAACTATTTGTGACAAGTACTATTTGCACGTCACGCACATCCATGTACAGTATTTGATGAGCGTATAGATTAATCAAACTGCAGTTCAGTTTCGCCTATCTATATCATCATTTAGATCTGTGAAGCTTGTAAATAATCTTTCGCGTCAACTTAAGTGTTTGGTTATATCTGGACTGTTCAGCTAACATAGTTCTGAGTTAATTCGATTTGACTACAACCCGGATGAGATCAGTTATAAGTATATAGAACTGTGTTCTGAATGTGGCTGACTGACCGATAATAGAAGTGATCAAATTATTCTAGATATAATTCTCATGATGAATTCGTATTATTTAGGAAACTTGAGGTATTAAATAATGGGTAATCCTCTGTTGTAAGTAGTATCGATCGGTTTACAAGTTTTAGTACCTATCTAACATCAAGTTTGAGATAACTGACTTGATACTATTGAGATGTTATGTAGCCCCAAATTACTGTACACTGTTAATGCCTTAGTTCACTCTTAACTTGTTTGGCTAGTGATATTTTTAGCGAAATGTAAACTGGTTGGACCATAATATCCAATACGGTTTGGCATATAATAACCTTCCTAATAATGTTGATTTATTATGTGAGGTATCCTCATGATCACTGCATCATTCTTCATTTAAATTAGCTTTAACAGTTATAGATCATGTTCATCATGTACTGAAATCATCCGAAAAATCGATGAAAATCTGGGAAGCTCCGAACAGCTATTTTGTCTCGGTGTGATGAATCCTTCACAGTGTATTCCTTAAGCATGGGAACTGATGATCATCTAATATATCTCTAAGACATTTCTGAAAGGATTTAGCTGTTGCCGTTATTGCACATAAGAAACTGGATGACTGATATTGTGTTCTTCACTTTCAGACAAAATCGAATCATTGATGATTTTGTCCTGTTAGAATACAGTGGTTTTCACCTTCCGGTTGTCCAAATTGTGGGAAAGGTCTTCTAGAGGTGCCTGGAAAGGAAATTATTGTAAAGTTGTTCTTCGTGACCTGAGAGCGTGGCCACAGTGCTCGAGGGACAACTGCTTGCGACCGGTCACATACCAACTTTCCGTGGCCTCCGTAACTGCCGAGACCTTACCGCCGGAGATGTAAACCAATAGAATAAGGTTAAGGTGTACACTTTATGGTCGACCTTTTCTAACCCCACACTTCCTTTGCGGGAAGGCAGCATCTCTGTTATGCTGGGTGTCTGAGGGAAACGTTTCACTGCCATCACACCTGTGTAAAGTCAGCAGTACGACTTCGCCCTCGAACCTTGGGTTTACTCCTTTTATTCTCACCTCTTTTCAACCAACTTGTCTGGTATGGTAGGACCTTCAGGAATGATTGTTCCAGAAAGTATAGCCCGATTGGTTCATCATGATAGGCGGGTCTGACTACGATGTCAAGGTATCAGCAACGGTCAGGAAAATGAAACTTCTGAATTAAATCGTCCCGTCGTAAGAATAGATCATCACCCAAATTTGTCGATTTATTAGATTACTGTAAGTTCACAACGCCATACGAACTCGTATATATTAATTATGATAATGGATGATTAAACCATCTGTTTGTCGACTTCACATGTATGTGTATATATTCAACTTCTTTGCCGTTTTGAGTTACTAATAGAATGACTTAAATTTTCTAATTCGTTGGCTGGTTATTAGCTTGAAATTTCTTATTCTCCTTATCCATTTTGGTCTACTCATAAGTAGTATACTTTATGACTGCACGTAGAAATATCGAAATAGACAAATTTATGTAAATATATACAGTTAGTATTACATGAATTAAAAAATTCATTAACATTATCATGTAAGAACAGATCGAGTTTTTCTATTACTAGGAGAAAGTATGTTAAGTCACAGTACATTGAACATTTACTTTTTAAAAAAATATCTAGTGTAAATACTGTAGTGGTATGTGCTACTTATTTCAACATAAGTAGTATATAACACCAATCGGAAATGGAATGCTTATCAGCACAAAGTAGGAAAGATCTAGTCGAAGAGAAAGGGAAGAGAGAGAGAGAGTAATTATTATAGCAATAAAGGAACGATGAAATTTAAGACAATTGATGAAGGATTTGTAAAAGAAAGTATAGTTTACACATTTTACCAAAGAACTTTGTAATTTTGTAGTTGTCTCTCACATATGTTCTCGTTCACAATATTGATACAATTCAGTCTCACGATAATTTGGAAGACTAGTATTCAAGTGAAATCATATACGTTAATAGTAATAAGAATCAATCCGTACAAATACAATATATTGATTTTATTCTTTATGAATAGTGTATTGTCTTTCTATAGTCCGACTATTTACTGTATAACTATTATGATGTGATGTTCTATTACCTTGATAATGTTGTTGGCGGTGATGTTGATAATGATTAACATTTTTATTTAATTTCCTTGCATTATGATTTGTCATTGTTGATTGTATCATATTATCAGATGAGCATTGTACATTATTATTAGTTACTATGGATGATGGTATTTCTTTTGATTGTGATAATCGTTTATTTGTTGATTGATTTCTATGTGAAATTAATCTTTCATTAGATGATAATGGTTTCTTTCTTAAATTTATATGATTCTCAAATGAATCCAATTGTTTATGCTGATGTATTCCATTTAATTGTTTACTTATTCTTGATTGTATATCATAATTATTAGAAGTAGTTAATTCAGATAATGATTTTTGTTTAGATTTATTCATTTCTATAAATTGTTGATGTTTATTTCTATGATTACGTAATTGAATTGGTACAGCAGATTGTATTATTTGTTCACCAAATATTGGATCATATATACCACTATCATTGTGTACACGTTTAGGTGGTAATGATTTTGTATAATTCATATTATCTATAGATAGATAACTGTTTAATAATGTATTTGATTGTTGTCGATTTAAATTTGTTAATGATTGTGGTATATTCAAATCAGTTCTTATCGATGAATTATGATGAGGATTAACATGATACAGAGATTCACCACCTTTTAGACCTGTTAAAGTTTTTTGTTGTCCTCGTGGAATTTCAGTAGATTTATGCATAAAACATAAACCACATAATGTTGTTTTACGTCGTGATTTTGAATAAATATAAAGATATATTTGTAATAGAATAAAACCTAATAATTGTACTAATATAACAACTAATAAACATGGTAAATAATACCATGATTCAGGATATTGATAATAATCATACCATAGACCAATCATTATAGAATTTTCTATATAATAAAATAAATAATAAATTAAATATCTTGTACGTGTATACTTTATACCAGCATTGAAAAATTCATATAAACTAATATAAGAATGAAGTAGATCACTGAAGAAATTTCCACAGATATCACTATGCTGTTAAAATACAAAAGAAAAATAATGAAGAATATTATCAGAAGAGGGTTTTTTTTGTGAAGCTAGATCATTATGGAAAACCTGTAAGCACTGGATGGCCAACTCGTCTTAGTATAGGACTCTTCAGCAGTGTACATCTACGATCCCGCCTCGCGGGACTCGAACATAGGAACTTCGGTCTTGCGCGTCAACGCTTTACCTCTAAATCATTGAGCCGGCATCCAATGGTGTTAATGTCTAATTTCAACCAGTTCACGAAGTTGTGCCACCGTCTACCATTGTACGCGCACGAAACTGGTAGGTCCTTGGTTCAAATCCCGCAGGGTTGGATCATGGACGCGCACTGTCGAGGAGTCTCATACTAGAACGAAACGCTTGTTTAGTGCTTCCAGATTCTCCATGGCGGCCTAGCTTCTATTCATGATTCAACTTTTAAATGAATAAATATATGTTGTATTGTATATCTGTTTAGTTAGATTTAAATTTTGATTAGTGTGTGTTTTAATTGGATGGTATAATATTC